GATAACAGAAAGCCGGGGATTATAACGTGAACCACTAGGATTTGCACAAGCCAACACAGAGGTTCTGGCATTTAGAGATGCAATAATACCAGCCTTTGCTATTGAAACAGTCTGCTGTTCCATCACCTGATAGAGAAACAATGTTCATTGGTAATGCAATCTTATGGACTAGAGACCACATTTACAAGGGGCACAAACCTCATGCAGCATGCTCCTCGCACTGTCAGACATTTTGTCAAATTCATCAATACAGCAGATACCTCGGTCACTAAGAACAAGAGCTCCACTCTCCAAAACCTAAACAATGTAGCATTCACATTAACAGGTCAGGTTTAGGAAGACCCTCAAAATACAATGAAAAAACCAGCTGACTACAAAAAGATTGAAGACAAGATTAACATACAGTTTCTCCGGTCTCAGGATCTTTAGCTACATAAGCTGTCAAACCAACAGCTGAGCTCCCTCGCCCACTAGTATAAATTCCACGGGGTGAAAGCTTATGAATGTACTGGAGCAGCTGGGACTTGCTCGTACCAGGGTCACCAACAAGTAAGATGTTAATATCACCACGAAAATTAGCACCAGATGCCAAGTTCAAAGCATTCCCTCCAAAAAGCTTCACATAAAAAAATTTGTCTTAGTAAAAGGACCTAGTGTCGTTTGGATTTTGCTGAATCATAAGCAACTATCAAAAGCGTTACAGTACCTGGCACAGAAGACCCTTTTTAACATCATCCAACTCCCAGATGTTTGGTGCTAGTGATCTACTAAGCCTCTCATATATATCTGGTTGTTTGGAGAGTTCCTGAAACTTCCTCAGCTGAAAAGTAACACAAATATTGGTTGGAATGGAGGGACAAAGGAATAAGTTACAAACTATAGATCCTTTTAGTTAAAAATATGAAATACCTTCTCTTCATCTAGCTCGACATCTTCATCGACTCTACGCAGACTATTGTCAACATCCATAGGATCCTCAGCAGACATTCGTAACTTACTTGCTTTCTTTATGTGAAGGCAGTCGATGTAGGTCTGTACTCAACGTTCATAAAAGATCATAATTGAGAATGTCAGAACGTAATAAGAAAAAAGAGGAATCACTAAAAGAAGGAAAAAAATATGATGACATGCCTTAAACACAGATTTCACAGTCCTATGAGCAGGCCCCACTCGAACGGTCATTGCTCTGTAAATTCCGGTGACCTATCCAGAAAACAAGCTTTTGAATGTCAACCAATACCATAGGAATGAATGTAATATCCTGATAACATTACTACTTTTTAACCTCAATTCTATCACCAGGTTTCCCATTATCAACTAGCTTATCATGCAGCAACAAGCTAACTGTGTGAGGTGTTCCTCCTTCCGGAATCTCATCAGGCGTTTCTTGAAGCCTCACAATCTGCTTATCAGCAAACCTGATGCACAAATGAATTAGGAAAGTTACAGAATTTAAAAGAATCAGATATATTCTATGTCTAGAACTTACCTGCATCGGTTGTGCACTAGTGTCATAGAGTTCTTGGCCATGCACTCTTGTTTCAAGCAAGTAGGAGGCTCACTTATTTTCCCTAAGAAGTAAACAGACATTAGGAGAAACTAAGCAGATATATACAGAAACTGATAAATCCAAGTGATCAAATTACCTCTATCAACGATAATGGGGTCAGAGAAGTATCCACAAACGAGGCATCTAAACACAGCTTCTCTGATTTCAGGAATGATAGAGCTACTCCGAATTATCATACCTTTCAAAGAGATCATCTTCTCGATATCTAACAAACCAAAACCAAACATCCAAAGATAAGCTAAGCTAGCCACTAGAGTGAACTAATAAACACAGAAAAACAAAAACTGAATCATACTAACCAGATGGATTGAGATTTCTTATGGAAGTGGATGTCCTGAGGTTAAAAATCCTCACTTGAACATGTTTCTCGAACAAACGATTAATCGTGGAAACAATATCCATCAGCACAATATCGAAGATAGCGAGAACTTCCAACGGATACCGAACCATCTTGTTATACAAATCAGGATCATAATCAAACACATCAAACGCATCAACATCAATCCATTCTCCTTCAATTTCAATCACCTTCCTTATCGAAACCATATACTTCCCTTCTCTAAACAAATCCTCACTGTTCTCTCTAGCTTCTCTAAAATGCTTAACAAACATTTCAATCGCAGATTTAACATCTTGCACACTGATGTTAGTACCCCAAACAAAAGTCGGAGTAGTATCATCAGCGCCGTCGTCTTCACCGTCGTCGGAAGAAGGCAGTGGTTCGTCAGTAGACAGTGGTGTCCCTGGGTCTCCGCCGCCGCCACCTCCGCCGCCACCGCGTCCATTTCTTCCATTAGATCTGGCGGCGGAAGGACGAGATGTTGGAGGAGTGGAATTGGATGATGCGAGACGTGAAGGTGGTGGTGGAGGAGTTGCGAATTGCGTGGGGGTAGAGGATCTTCCTCGCCGGCGACGGTGGAGTGCGGCGGGGGAAGAGTATGTGTTTTCGATAGGGCTTGAAACGTTTTCTCCGGGAGAAGACGGACCTGAGGTAGTGAGACTCGTCAAAATTATGAAGCAGTTTCGGCATTGAGAGAGAGGGAGAGAGGAAGAGAGATATTACCGTCGTTAGGGTTGCCGGGAGAAGAATCGGAAGCCATGGCTGATCGGAGAATTGAGAGAGACGGAATGAGAGGTTTCGGCGCTTTTTAGTGAGTAGAGATGAATTAGGCGGGACTTCACTTGATTTTGGCGCCATTAGTAAATGGGCTTTGAATGGGCCTAACTATTGGGCCTGTTAATATATTAACTCGAAAGGCTTATTGATCCTAAATCTTTAACTGTAGACGTTTATTTTGTTTTTTTCCTCTCTGTAATCTATTATGAACTACCAGTAAGTTTTTATATTCGATAAAACAAAAAAAAACTTGAAAGTTGTTAGTTTTTTTTTTTTAAGAAAAATACTACATTAATAATTCATTTTTTAAAATAACTTGATGTTAACTAAATCTAATGGGGCTGGAACAAGTTGATTTACATATATCCCTGGAGAAAAACTCACCAAGAAAATTTTGTTAAATGTTAAAAAAGGTTCAATAGTTTGTTTTACAAGGCAAATATTTTCTATTGAATGAACAAAATCCGTTTGTAAATTAATATCATTATTTCCCAAGAAATCCTCAATCCTCATAGACTAGGGAGTATCAATTTTCATGAACTTAAAAACATTTTTTCCAAAGGAAATCAATTAAAAAAGGTTCAATAGCTAACAAGACATTTATATTATCTGAAAATGATAGTTATGGTGTTGCACACATAACCGATGATAGTTCGGGGATGTCCGTATGTAATACCAATAGTTCGTGTAGTTAGCGAGACATTAAAATAGTCTGCATGTGTGGTGATGTGTTGGCGTATAATTCGTGTAGCTGGCAATGATTTTTCCGTTGTTTTACCTGGCAAATATTTTCTATTGAATGAACAAATCCGTTTGTAAATTAATATCATTATTTCCCAAGAAATCCTCAATCCTCATAGACTAGGGAGTATCAATTTTCATGAACTTAAAAACATTTTTTCCAAAGGAAATCAATTAAAATCCTCAAGATTCTTCATGGACTATATATGGATTGTTATATATTGAAGTAACTGTTCTTCTATTGATTCTTCTACAAAAGAGGTCACAAATTCATATAGCAACTAAAGATCGATTTACAAGATTATTGCAGAAACTGAACAATCCAAGAACGACTAAAATAGAAATCAATAAGCAAATCCAAACACTACCATTTGAAGAAATCTAAGCCGTTTCATCGAAAGAAAATTTGAAGAAATCGAACCTATCAGCACCTGAAATTGATACCAAAGCCATGCTTACCATGAACACACCCAGGTTTCAACTGCAAATACGAAGATCTCTTCCCCAATTTCCTAATCCTCTGTCTCTTTAGCTTCTTGCTCACGCTCCTTGGAACCAACTCATCATCAAGATCATTATAGTCATCTTCATCATCAACACCATCGCGATTGATATAATCTCCAATACAATAACGAGAACCTCCACGGAGAAACATTATCTGCCGACGAAACGAACTGTTACGGTAATCACCAAGAACACTAACAACACCATCGACGAGAACAAAATCAGCTGCGAAGAGATCATCAGTGTCAGTCTCCGAAGCTTCCAAGTAGATTATGTCTTCGTAGAGACTCTTAACGGCAAAGGAATTGAGGAACTCTAAGAGGTCGAGTACGAGATCGTCTTCTTCTTGATTCGCCATTTTTCGTTTTCTCTGTGATTTCGCCGGAGAAAGTTTGTTACAGTCTCTCTGTTTGTTTTCTATTTCAACACTGAAGGAAAAATCACAAGAAGCCGATTTTATATGCGTGTTGTTTGTAACTGGAGAAAAACGTCATGCAGTTCTTTTGCTCAAACTCAAAACGGAATGTAGTCTAAAGAATGTCTGTAACCCGAAGAAAAACGTCACGCTGTTCTCTTGTACACTGAGGCTGATAGGTCTCAGACTATAACTCGGATCCAAATTGTAAAACAGAGATAACACTTTTCTTTGGGCAATTCTTATTGCCTCTTTTTGGCTTTTCGATTATCTTAAATAGAGCAAAGAGATGGAGTTCAACTCCTACAAACAAGGAATGGGAAAGTGGAAAGGTGGTTCCTTAACAACAGAGACCACTTCTTCCGTTATTGACTGAAACAAACGACTTATTCAACATCAACCAAACCAACTTAATTCAAATACTTTCGGTTTGGTACACGCATCCGGTTTGATGATCTCCGGACCGGTTCTGTCTCCTCCGCGACTCCATCAGAGGCGCTACTTTAGTTTGGCAAGTAATTAGGCTTTTGACCCGAGGAAGAATTATAGCATTGGTTTATTTTCTTTACTCGTAAAACTTGATAGTTCAAAGTATTATTTGGAGCATTGGATTTATCGGTTTAAAACAATTCCAATAATTACTTTTTTAACAGTTTCTCAAGTGTTGTGTTACACTGACATTGACAGAAAACTAAATAATGTAAATGGAAGAAACCAGTGATCCTTGAATTGACATAATTTGCGGTGCATATTTTGAAGCCTGTCCTAATAAGGATGATGGTAAAATAGATCACAGAAACAATAATATTCTTTGATCGCCACAAAAAAAGAATATGGCAGATTGGTGGTGTTCAAGTAAAAATGACAAGTTATCAATTTGGCTTTAAGGCTGTAAGCAGAGAGCTGTTTTGAGTGTTGGGATCGTACTAAATCATGATGCGAAGGACGGCGAGTCCCACAGCTGAAATCGACACAAGTGTACCTATGCAATATTTGATGACTTCGTATTTTGAAGCTTCTAATTGAGCTCTCAACGCATGGATTTCCTGCAAAAGCAAATCATATTATGTCTTCTCATCTTCCTAAGTTTCAGTCTATAATGTATATAGTTCATGAGTAAAGGGAATAGTTGCTATATACCCTGTCAAGCTTGTTTGTGAGATTTGTTGTTTCGGTATTCTGATTAGCTAGCTCATCGCGTATTCGACTGTGAGTAACAAAACAACCATAACCAGATTACCAAATACTCTATATATCACGCCTTCACTTGCAGATGGCTACGTTGGTAAATGGTCATAGAAGGAGAGTACTGTGCAAAATTGAGAGTTTTCTTACCCTCTTTCAAGATTCAAATCCAAGCGTTGTCCAGCTGTGACCTTATCAATTTCGTACCTGTTTCAAGTGAGAGGTCTTAGGTCTTAGTTTCAGATTGGTTAAGAGCATATTAAAAGGCGAACTATGGCCACAAACCTGAGCTCACTTCGCATCTTCTCTATATCGCCTCTCAATTTTTCTGTCTCACGTTGCAATACAGTAAAGTGATGCTCCTTTACAAAGCATGAAGAAGAGTTGGTATCATAAATCTTCTTACTGCGTTATACAGGGAAGCACAGACAATGCTATTTTGCCTAAACTACTTACAGTAGATGCTGGTGCTACATTGATTTAACACAACATGACATGAAAATGTACAGTACAATGGTATGCAAATAAACACAATATACCGATTTTTCTGGCTATAAGTGCCTAAGACTCCAACTCATAAACAGCTGCAGCAATGAGAGTTTGAATTACTAAACAGGCCCTCTTCCTAGATAAACTAATTTACTCAAAAAACGCGGCTTGTACATCTTCTATTTTCAAAGTAACAACACAACCTCTCAAACTAATCAATATCCATAATGAGAATAAAGAGAGAAAACTTAGAAGAATTTTTTGAGGACATCACCAACTTTTGCACATCAAACCAGAAAACAGCCACAAGTTTGAGGTTCTGAACCACTACTAATCAAAAACAACCACTAATGTATGCAAGATCAGAAACATTTTCTAACGGTAGATGTTACCTGCGAACTTTTGACTTCAGATTTAAATTTTGACAGATTTGAATCTTGAATCATTTCAATCTGCAAACACACAAATCAAAACTAAGAAAAAGAGAGTTTCACATAATTAAAATTTTAAACAGTAGTTTCCCACAACTTAATGAACAGTAATCGAAACTAGTTACCTTCTGCATTTCTGCTTTTGACACAAAAGACTCAGACACATTTTCCAAGCTATCATTCAAAACCTCAGTAATAGCAGAAGTTATTGCCTCAGCTTGTTTCGATGGAACACCTTGAGCTTCAAGACTCCTCACCTTTCACAAAACATCAAAATAAACCCAAAGAAAACTATAAACATTTCATTGCTTTCTCCTACAGCAACTTAAAATCCTAGAGATTCCAAAAGTTCTCAATACTCAAAATTCATGCCAAGTTCTAGATCTAGTCTACATAGAGAGAATGAAAATACCAGAGCCAATGTATCAACGAGAAAGGCACGTCTTCCATTAGCTTTCGTGAGTTCAGAATATTGACGGTACGGAAATTGACGACGATTAAGCAATCCGAGAGAGGAAACGAGACCTCGAGGTTTAGCGAGAGTAATCGCAGATTGAGCTCCCAATAGAGCCAATCGCTTGGACAATGTCATCGATCAGAAATTGAAAGAAATAATAACCGGAGATTACGGAACTACGCTAAAACCTAATCGCGGTATAGATTTTCCGGTGGAGGAGACGGTAATTTGGGAATCGGAGAATCGAGAGAGAGAGGATTTGAGAAGCTAGACCTTGACGACGAAAGGGTTCTTCTTCTACTTCTGGGTTTGTTTGATTTTTTTCTTTCTCAATGGGATTTGGTGTTTAATTACATATTTACCCTTTATAGACCAAATCGTAATTAATTACTTGCCCGAAAAGTTCTTCTCTTCCAATTTTTGTATTTCGTTCTTAATCTTCTTCAGTGATTTATTAAATTAAGCAATTAGCAATCATGTTTGACGACACGTCAGCCTAAACTGCCACGTCAGTAGTATGCATTGACACGTCAGCGATTGGACTGTTTCAGACCCAAATAAAAGGACACTTACAATTGGGCTGTAAATTTAAGGCCCATATAACTTTTTCAATTTTACTATGCAGTTCCAGAGTTTTAGATCAATTTCTTTGTTGTTATAACTTTTTTGTTGTTGTTGTTGTTATAACTTGTCACTAGAGTAAACAAACAATGATGAACCATCCATTATTTGAATTTCCAATTCGACCACAATCAAGACACAAAATGCTTAGTTGAATATATCATTCGAATAAGATTACAGTTTTATAAACTTGAAAAACAAATTATGGTGGCTTTTGTTTGTTCTTGACTGTGTTATTATATTGTTTTTCTCTTTTTCTTTTTTTTTTCGTGCAACATTGCATGTGTTATTGTTTAAATTGTTAAATTGATGAACTATGTTAAAAACAAAAGCATGCTAGATTAGGCTCGAATCAAGTCTGCTATGACGATAACTTTAACTCGTAAATGTGACAGTAGAATTAAATGTATCATTATTGATCAGAAGAATTACGTAAACTGAATATCCAAAGACCAAAATCTTTGGTTTTTATTTTGGTTTTAAGAAACCAAAATCTTTTTAAGCGTTAGTCCGACTGCTACCATGCATGATATTAAGTGTAACGTGAATTTTACAATTCCAAATTTCTGAAACACCAAAACATCTGATCTTCCTAAGTTTCGAGGTGAATAGTGTAACATGAAATAAATTCTTGAATCAAAGAAAAAGCCATAACTCATCAAGCTTGTTTTTGGCCTTCCCAATTTCAAATGTGAGGTCTAGTTTCCGATTTGTTAAAGCAAATATTACAATACGTTGATGATGTGTGACTAGATACGTACCCTAGCTCAATTCGCATCTTCTCCATATCGAGTCGTAAATTTTGTATCTCTTGTTACACAACAGTATAATCCTACTAAGGAACGGAGAAGAGTTGGGATCAGATCTATGATGTGTGGAGGTGGGGTATGTGCCCAATACTAAATTTAAACTAAAAAGCACTCACTTTATTCCTTCTTAAACTAAATTGATAAGAGAATAAAAGCAGCTTCTCATGTGTTATCTAATCCGGAAATCCCCAAAGCTAGCTTCTACTTTTAAAGTCACACAACCTCACACTAATCCATATAATTGAAAAAGACAATAACAAAAGCAAGAATTATGGAAGGTTTTGTTTTTCAAAACATCAACTTTTGCACATAGATAACAGCCACATATTTTCTAGGTGTTATGAAATATGAACCCATCGTAATCTCAAAAAAGCACTATTTTATGCAAAAAAAAAAAAAAAAAAAAAAAAAAAAAAAAAAATTAACTATACATATAAAAAAGTATATATTACCTGAGAATTATTCGACTGATTTGCATCTTTAGTGAGCTCGGAAATTTGGCGGTACGGGAATGGACGACGATAAGAGGAGCCGAGAACTCGAGGTCTAGAGATATTAAGGTCCATATGCCTTCAATTTGTTATTTGTACAACAAAAATTGAAAATAAATAAGTAGGTTTATAGTTTATCGATTGTAAACCTAAACCGTTTTAATTTTATATGAAATATTTACATTCTTAGGTTTTAGCAAAAAAAAAAGAAAATAAATATGTAAACATTGTCAAGAATTGTTTACCGTTCTTGGAATAGACCATCGATCTGTTTTTCTCTCGTTGACTTTTTTGTTACCACATTTCTTTTCCCCTTTTAGGCTTATATTTTCTCGAATTTAGTAAAAGAAACAATCTATATTTAGTGTATGTAAAGTATATTTAATAAGAATACAACAAGTTTCTACAAGTAAAATACATAACCTTTTTTTTTTATTAAAATTGTTGAATCATGAGATATGCTACTTCATTTATAGTTGTTTGTCTTCTCATACTCCTCGTTACGAACCATGTTAACGGTAATATATTAATCTCATGTCGATTTTAACATTTTGTTCGTAAGATATGAAACATTGATTATTTCTATAAGATTTTAAAACATAAAACTTTTAATATTTTTGTAGTATTAACTGTTTAGTTAAAAAAACTACATATCTTATCTACAATCAATCTTTTATTTTTCTTATTGAAAACAGGACAGGGCAAAACAAAATGTCTTGCTAAACTGGAGGGTTATGGATCATGTGGACCTAACGGATCTAAGTTGTGTTTAAATGAACTTGAACAAGATCCCAAACATTCCAAATTTAGAAAAGTAGCTAACGGTTGTGAATGTCAAGACCGGGGTAAAAGAAAAGAATTCAACATGGGCCTATCTCATTCGTGTGTGTGTTATAGTAGCCGTTCTTGCGAAGGACCAATAAATGGAATTGGATCTTCCGAATAACTAAGACATAAGTTACCAGAGTTTGGTGTTGATTATACCTAATATGGTTTACAAATTTATATATATATATGTTAGTCTTTGTCAACAAAAAATATATTTTTATTTTAGTCAAAATAAATAAATTTATCTTCAAAATGTAAATCAATAATAATGATCGCTTTTTGCAGTTAATTTAAAGTGTAATATTGGACGATTAAAAAAAGTTGAAGTGTTTAATATATTCTCTCGTAATACATCTCTATTTCATTTGTCTAACTATTTATTTTTTAAAATAGTGATTATTAGATACCACCATTTACTTAATTTTATAAACCGTTTCATCACTTCTATTTCACTTTGAGTTTAGTTTTCCTCCTCTTCTACTAGTTAATATATTCACACATCTGTCTTTATGTAAAATGTTATTTCATCTTATGTTTACCTGACAATCTTCAATTAATGTCTATTTAAAGGATGGAAAAAAAGTTGAAAAGGGTACTAATTAATTTATAAAAAAAATAGAAATAGCATGGTCTTAACAAAAATTTCTTAAAATATTTCACATAAAATTAAAAGTATATGCTATTCCTATACTTTTATTTGGTCAGCATTATTGTCTTGGTAATCTAGTAATATGAGAGTCATGGGGTAACACATTGTTCTGCAACATGTTTCCTTCCATGCACTACTATATTGACTATTTTTATGGATAGACCATAAACATAGTAGGAGTTATTGTAACAGTGATTTTATGTCTTTTAAAAAAACGTATTCAACAACAGTAATGTTTGTACACATTTGAAACAAGATATATAAAACATGTAATATTCATAATGAGCTCTAATAATACAACGTAATTAAGAGATATCATTAAGACTGATATCTTCAATTTGTACAATACACAACGAAAAAATTGAAGATAAATAAGTAATCATTATCAAGAAGAGTTTACAGTTCTCTGAAATAGACCTTCGATCCTTTTTATCTCGTTGAATTTTTGTTGCCACATTTCCTTCCCGTGTTTAGGTATATGTTTTCTCTAATTTAGTAAAAGAAGCAATCTATAGTGTGTGTAAAGTATATTTAATAACAATACAACAAATTTCTACAAGTAAAATACCTTCATATTGATAGATAATGAAAAAATTCAATATTGATAATATTGTTGGAACTCAATTTTACACAAGTGGCTCGGGCCAACTTTCCGGCGACTTTTCCGGTGACGTCCGTCATCGTAATGACCGGATAATGGAACCTTTGGATTTTTTGTAATGAGCACTATAAGATAGTATATCTACTTGTAAAAATTGAAGTTATATTGAATGAGTAATTGAGGTCCAAAGTGGTAAGCTTGAAAGCTTATAAAGTACAAATGTAATTTTGTCTCACATTGGAAGTTTGGAAACTTTTTCTCTTGTATATATAGTGATAAACATATGACATGGTTCACTAGCTATTGGGAAGGGGAGACTATGGTCAGAGCCATGCCAAGAGATTCAAGGGCCATAAGCGGTACATAAGAAAAAAAATCAAAATACTAATCATCTCTTCTAATATAATTTTTTTTTTGAAGTAAACATAAAATATTAATTCTGAAACGTAATGATTTTATAGAAAATCGTTAAATAGATTTTCAAAATCAATAATTTATAATATTTTTGTGAATAGGGAAGATAGTTAAAACATCAAAAATATAAAGAAAGTTCAAATCCATTGTTAATAAAAGAAGCAATGGTCGTCAAGGGACCTTGTATCACTTTATTATTTTAAATTTCTAACTAATTACTAAATTTTGAAGAAAAAAATCTCACTAACACGATTTATCAAACATATCATGTTTAGAAGCCAGAAAAAAAATCAAAAGCATCACGTTTCTATAGTAAAACTTTGATTTAAATTTACACTAATATGCTGTTGAATTTTTAATTAAAATGGGGCCGTAGGCGAAGGTTTCATTTTGGGTAACGTAGCCACGGCCCTGACTATGGTGAAGGAGATACATGCACATTATGCAACACGACCCACATGCGCGCGCACTGCCGCCGCTGCCGTGCCGTGCCGCAGAAATCATTTCCAGATTGGTATATGTATATCGTTTGAACTAAACGTTCCACGAAATGCCACGAAGTGGCTAAAAAGCTTTCGCAGAAGCGTTTGTATCGATACAAAAAAACGTTTTTTGAAAACCGAATAAAATCGTTTTTTAAAAGCTGTTCGCGTAGGGATCCGTAATGCGATGGAGAAAATTCTTTTTGGAGAAAATACTTATGAGGCTTTTGTTACATTTATGCAACATTTTCTACATAAGTTTTTGGCCCATTAAGAAGCCCATTAATGAAATCGAGTTTGCATAAACAAAAGACATATTCGAGAGCATATTCCAAATTTTGAAATCGAAAATCGATCGGCTCTGGATATCTCGCCCATGATCTCATCGTGGCCGAGTCCTCCTCTCGCTCCCAACGTCCCTAGATTTGCGCCCACGAGCCATCCCTTCAAGCAGCTTCTCCTCTCGCCTATAAAAGCAACACCTCTCTCTCTCATTTTCTTCACGCTTTTTACACTAAAACGCAAAAACAAAACTCTCTCTCATTTCTCTTTCTTCTCAAAGTAAGTCTCAAGAGTATATCGTATTATTCAAGTTCGTAGATTCCGTTATCGAGTGTTGCGATATCGGTCTCATCGTGATTGTATCCTGCGATCCGCTGCTCACAAAACCGCCCACTGCGGGAGCTAGTTTGGATTACGGAAAGAGATATCATATCTCGCCTTCACGCGTTTTCTTAAATCGTCTTTCCAAATCGTTTTCTAAAAGTTATTTCTCTCTGTTTTCAAATCGGGATTTCGCGGTCCTACAAATATATATATATATATATATAAATCTAGCGACTGAAAGCGCAGATTGAGCCCCTAACAGAGCTAGACGCCTGAACATGCTCATCGATCAGACCGAAATCTCAATAACAAAACTGATACGAATTGGTACCTAGACGACGTACGGTTCTATTTTACTTTCTTTGGGATTTAATTTGATTTCTCTTTAGTTTTTTTTGGGGTTTGATTATTTTATACCTACCCCTTTCTTTTATACCAAAACGCATTCTATTGCTTGCCCTAATTTTTTTTTTTATAATGCTTGCCCTAGAAGTTATTTTCTTTTCTTTTTTCTGTTTAAATATATGTATTCTCCGTGTTATATATATATGTGCATGAATAACTATTATTATATTCCCATTCGTCTCTACGGATTTTTAGGATCGCCTCCAAACCGTGAAGACACAAGATCTGATATTTTGGATTCTGAAATGTCACCATCTCGTAAAATAAAAGCCAGTAATGACTATCCTTGTCAAGAACCTGAAGATAAAGTCCCCAAAAATCTGAGTCAAGATCTATCTCCTCTTCGCAGGAATATGAATGTGAAGCGTGAAGCTGAAGCTAGACTACAAGAACTTGAGCACACTACAAGAACTTGAGCACACTACAAGAAATATGAGCATTGATAGCACATAACGATAGCGCATTTTCCGTTACTGCTATTAAAGATAGGGTTAGGAGTTTGGTAACTCTATCATAACATTTAGAAAACGCTATATCACTTAGCCAAAAAAATTAGACTTAGGTCCGTAGTATCTCCACCACAAAGAACAAATTATAAACACCAACAACAGAAAAAAAATCACTCGACGGAGAATTTTCGTTATTCTCCGATCTACATCTGTTCTCTCTTCTCTCTACTTCTTCTTCATCTTCTTCTCTTTATTTTCTGCCGATCTTTCTTCTCAGATCTGTCGTTCTTCTGCTGAAATCGAATTTGGAACAAAGATCTACATACCCTTGATTCAATTGTTATTTTGATTCAGTGTTGGAGCAACGGAGCAACGGAGTCGCGAGGGTGGTGACGAGGATGCGGAAGATGGAAGAAGAAGAAGCTGAGAGGCGGATCCATCGGCAGCGTCACCGTGGAGGAGAATCGCCACAGGAAGGGAGAAGATGAACGACAATAATCTCGACGAAACGGTCAAAGGGGAATCAAAGAGAGAGAGATTCATGTCTCGGCCATTCCTTTTTTAAGCACCGACTTCCTTCTCGATGGCTGGTGCGTAGTAACAAATTCGATTTTGTTTTTCTCTAAACCCTAAAATTTGTCTACTCATTGCTCGATTGATGGAAATAGGAGAGGTTTGGGAGCTGTTCATGAGCTCATAAAAAGAGAAAGGGTCTACGAGGAGGTTGATTTTGAATTTGCTTCTCATTTCGGTTTGATTTTGAATTGAATCAGACTTTGGTTTTTTTTTTTTATTTGTCTTCCTTTTGATGTGATTTGGTTTTGTAGGGCATTGAGAAGCTTGTAAAAACCCACCGTTGAAAAGTGAGAAACCAAAAATGTTTTGTGTTTTAGGTTTTTATCTCGATTTAGCTTGACAGGTAAAGTTTTGATTTTATGTTACTTAATCATCGCAGATACTAAATCGAATTGCCATGGCCAAGAACTCCTTCAAGCTTTCTAAATCCTCTAAGTTAGTTTTGTTCTTTTCTCTCTTCTTCTTTTTACTTTTTGATTGATTGATATCACTTGATAAGAGTTTAAAGAATTTTTGTTGATGATGTTTACTTCTTTGGTTTCTTTTGATCTTGTGTTGCTTTGGATTGTGTTGTGATTCTGATCTTTGTTTAAGGAACTCAATTTTGATTAGCCTGGTTACGAGTTTGAGATTGGTTTCTCTGTTTGTTGGTGATCAACATCTATAAGTATGTTAACCTTGACTGGTTTTAGTTGTTGTGCTTAAGTCAGGTTTTTGTCTTATGCATTGACTCTGAGTTTCACTCCTATGCTTATCTATATTTGCTGAGACTGTTGTTAGAAGTATTGCTAAGGAAGTGTTGTTTGATTTCGCATACCTTTTTATGCTCTTGTAAAAGCTTATTATTTTGTCGTCTTGCCTTGGCCAGAGTTTGTTTACTATTTTCTTAGACTACAGTTTGCAATGTCTTCGATGTATAGGTTGAAGCAACTGTTAGAGCTACAGGGCAGTATCCAGAACGTTTAGGTGAACCCCCATGCCAGGTAACCCCGACCTAATTTGGAGCTAATTTGAGCATGCAGTTGGAGCTAATTTGTTTTGCTGTCTCAAGTGAGTGCAGCTCAAGATATTGTTGTCTCAAGTGCAGTCTCAAGTCAAGTCCCAAGTGAGTGTGCAGCCCAAAATCTATATAGATTAGAAATTAGGCTCAGCTTAGATGAGAACAAGTTTGTTAATTTTGGCACTTGTAATCTTAGTTTAAGCCTTGGATTGAGACTTTTTACTTGTATGGTGTGGATGATTTATGAAATATAAATATTTTATATAAATTTCAAAAGAGGTTTTCGCAAATGTGAAATAATATGCATATAAAACGCAAGTATTATTGCATAAAATAAGCGTCATAACAAAATATATTACAGCGTTTAAAATGAGCACCTAACATAGCAAGAAAAATGACTTATTACATAATTTATAACAAATATAAAGGCGATATAACAAAGCGTTTCACTAATGCTATGGTAGAATACTATATCATAGCATACATAAAAAACGCTATCGTATGTGGGGGGTCTACCATAACAGGGGCATAAGACAGCGTTTATGAAAACGCTATTGATGACATATAATAGCTCTTCTCTCTTGCTAATAATGTAGATATTTTTTGTAGTGGCATGAGAAGGAAAAGCCATTTTCTCGGACAAGGGATGATTCTGCAAGCTTAATCAAATGATGAAAGAAAGAGTTAGATTGGGAGATCAAATGGCTCATTTGGTTAAGAAAAAACAGCATGAGACAACTCTTGTTGATCTAGGAGACGATGAGAAGAAGAAAGAATCTGGATTCATTGTACCACAAACTGTGCCTAAAGATAGTTGGTTGACGAAAGGACTAGAGACTACGACAAACCGGTATGGAATTAAACCGGTAGATACTGGGATGGGGTCGACCGTAGTAATGGATATGAGAAGCAAATGATTAATTTAACGAGAAGAAAGCAACATAAATAGGTTCAGGAGATAACCATTCTAAGTAAATGACTCATTTCAAAACAAGATACTATAACTTCATTTTGGAATGACCTCCTAAAATCCACATAATCTTCTGCATTGAAACTAATCCTTAATGAGAAGCTGCTTTTTTTTTTAGATAACTAATCTCGTAAAGCAACCTAATATGAAGTGCAAGAAAAGGAAAAAAATCAAACATCGCAAGCAAAATCTTCAACCATATAAAGTTTTGATTTCGTATGCATATTGTAACAATCATAACTCATAAAATAAAGAAAAATCCAATAGTGTCCCAACTATAAGCCGATTAAAAGCATATTCCCAAAATGGGGAAAAAAGAGAGCATGTTAGATCCTACTTAAACAACACCAAGATGCAAAGTATAACCATTGGTGTTGACAACCAGGCAAGTGTTCGAAACTCGGATTCGTAGTACTCACGTCTTGCATCTTGTAATTTAGTTCCAAATTCCTGAAACACCAAAACATATTACGAGTTCTGATATTCCTAAGTTTCAAGGTGAAGAGTGTAATGAGGTTCCTATGTAAAAGAAAAAGTTATACCAGATTTGACTTTTTAGCTTCATACCTGTTTCAAGTGAGAGAGGTCTTAGTTTCCGATTGGGTATATATAGCATATTTACAAAACATTGAGAATGTTTTGACCAAATAAAATTGATGAAAAGCTGATCACATACCTTTGCTCCATTTGCATCATCTCCATATCATGTCGTAATTTTTGTATCTCGCGTTTCACAAGAATAGAATGATTCTCCTTCACAAGGAATTAACGAAGAAGAGTTGGGACAATGCTACTATGCATAAAATGTTTAAAGTAAATACATGGTTTAACACAAGAGTACTGATACCAAAAATTTTGTGTTTTAGAGTATAAAACGCATCACAACTTGAGAGGTTTAAAAAAAACATCAACACTAACATTAATACCTGAGAAGTTTCAAGTTCAGATTTCAAAAATGTAATCCTAATTTAATAACATTGTCAAAACTATTAAAAGGTGTGTGTTACCTGAGAATTCTTCTGACAGGTCGGAAAATTGGCGGTAGGGGAATGGACGACGATCAATCATTGCGTAAGAGGAGCCGTGACCTCGAGTTCTAGCGACGTATTGAGACCCTAACAGAGCCAGGCGCTTGGACATGATGGTCATCAATTAGACGAAAATCTTAATAACAATTCAACGAATCGGAGAAGCAAGTAGTAAACGTAAATAAAATCGGCGCAAAATCCAAGATTTGGGAATCAGAGAGTCGAGAGAGATTTGATTTGCCAAGCTAAACCTAGACGTCGTCCGGTTTTATTCTAATTATATTTATGGGGTTTGATTTCTCAATGGTTTTGGGGTATCTTATCCTTTGTTTTTTTATATACCAAAACGCCATCTATTGCTTGCCCAAAAAGTTATTATTATTATTTTTTAAAAACTATATTTTCTGAGGAAAATATTACAATCAAACAAAAAATTCAAGAATTTGCCTCAACTCATCAAGAGGTAAATATAACTTATTCAGTAAGGGAAGCCACGAGCCCACGACACGCAAACTAACATTACAATTGAGTCACAAAACTGTTTATAAAAATCCAACACAATTCACCCATAAACAAACTCAGCAACAAGTTTGATCAGGTTTAAGAAAATGAGCTATGGAAATAATCAATGAAAATGCATTTTATTAAAAAAATAAAAATAAAGTCAAATTCATAGGGTAAAAATCATCTAAAATGCTACAATTGTCGGAATTTCGAAAGAACTTTATTTGACAAACTTTTTTCGTTGCAACGAGAAAATGCCAGAATTTATATGTTCGAAATTTGTTTAACTTGAATTTCTAAAAGTATAAATTCCGATAGATTTCTGACGGCCATATGATAAATTATTGAAATTTTCTATATTGAATATTTGTTTAAAAACAAAATATTTAAATTGAGTAGAAAATCCCATATTCTATATTAATATTTGATAATAGTAGTATATATAGTACTACTAATTGTTTAAATATAACCAACAAATAAAATATAGTTTGAGAAAGAGAAATACATATAGTTAAGATCAGGCCGATGGCGGAAAAGATCCCGGAAATTGCTTCTCCATGAATTGTTGTAGGAGGGTGATCGAATGACGAGTCTCTTCGTTCTGCTTTTCCAATTGTTCATACCTCAAGTCCTTTTCCTTGACTAGCATAAGAGATCATGGAACAACAACACTATATTTTTCTACCATTTTTTTTGAGCCAGAGAAAAAAAATATTAGATTTCTTGTAAAAAAAAAAAAAGAGAAATTACCGATTTGGTTTGGAGTAATTGAGAGGTCATGAGCTTGTCTAGCTTCTAGTAAATCCAACTCGTGCGAAATAATGGCGGCGATGATTATTGACATGGAGATAATTGCAGGTAGGCTGAATATGATAAACTCTTTTTTGTTTTTTACAGTTTCTAATTGAACCCTAAAACCGTAACGATGCTGAAACACCAAAACAAAAACATATATTGTGGCAGTTTCAAGAGTGAAAGAAGAAATTTCTGAGTAAAGGAAAAAAACTATACCCGTCCAACATTGCTAAAGAACATTTCAAAGCTAACCCTGTTTCAAGTAAGAGAGCTAGGACTTAGTTTCTCATTGGTTAACCAAGACGTTGAGAAAAAAAAAAGGATGGTCACAGACCTGTTCTCTGCATGCAACATGTAGCTTTTTGCTTGTATTTTTTCTATCTCGGGTATAGAATCATCAACAGCCTTCAAAAGCAATAAAGATTAAGCAGCATCAATCAGCAAGTTTCAAGGTTCTGTCTGAACCAATAGTAATCACAAACAAACAAGCGAACTAGGTATGTTTTACCTGAGAACTTTTAGTTTTAGAGTTAAACTTTGGTAAATTTGAATCTTTAGTGAGCTTAGAAATTTGACGAAGATTAATCAAGTTGTAAGATGCAGTGTCGGCCCGACATTTGCGAGTGCCCTACGCAAAGCTTCAAAAAGTATGTCTTTTTCATATACTATAAAAATCATTAACGAATCATTATCGGATTTGCACCTTTCTTTTTTAAAACAAATTTGGAAGGAAAAAACAATAAATTCAAAAACAAAACTAACAATTAACTTCAAAACCTAGGATTTTTCACTTGTAAAATAAGCAAATTGATTCACATACACGCATAAGAGGTATCACTTGTAGGATTTTTAGAGTTTTTTTTACTAAATCAAAAATTTAGTGTTGAAGATAATTAGTTTGTCTTTAAAAGTCCATATTATTTTTTTAAAAAGGCTCTACAGAATAAATTTATAACTTTTGCAGTATATCCAAAACTTAACAAATTTTTAGTTTAAAAGGCCCTAAAATTTTGAGACCCCAATCGCTGGCTTCAGTTGCTTGGCATCTGCGCCGGCCCTGGTAAGATGAGACATGACCTCGAGGTTTAGCGATAGAAAGCGCGGATTGAGCCCCTAAAAGAGCCAGACGCTTGGACAAGGCCATCGATCAGACCGGTAAATGAAATCAAATCAAATCAAATCGCTCTAAAGGGAGACAGAGATTGGGGAATCAGAGTGTCGAGTCGAGTGCGTGAAGAGGGTTTGATAAGACGACGACAGTTCTCTATTCCTACTTTCTGCCTTCTGGGGTTTGATTTCTCATTGGGGTTTTTTTATAATTTGGGCTTTATAATGGGCTTTTATTTTATATTTCTCATTTATTACATATGGCCCATTGTACGTACAGAGTTTTTTTCTTTTTTTTTTTTTTGTGCAAAAGTTTTTTTCAATTTTCAATATAAACATTTGAATTAGAGGTTTTGAAAGAAATTGCATAGAAAATAGAGAATGGGAAGAGAGTGTAATAGACCGTCAAAGCATATGGCCCTTGATTTATATTATAGTTTGCTTAGCCTTAATACGTTCTTGTGTCTCATGATCTCAAGAAATGCACCAAAGTTTATTGTTGTTATACTTATATGATCACTAGAATGTCATTTTACAAACTCCTTGTAAGAGAAAAACAAAATGTAATACGAGAAAAGGTTATTCATCTAGTGTTTAATAGAAAAGAACTCTTTGTACACTTGTTTGGGCATATGCCTCAGCTTATTTGTTTTCCTTTCAGAAAAGATGAGTGATGCCTCTTAAATTTCTTCAAATGATGCACAAAGATATATAGTTCCGAGTCGAAAGAGAAGAGCATACCATCTCTCTCATGAGTTTGGTTTTCACAATAAAATGCACCTTAAAAAACTGAGGATTGGTTATTTCAAACATAAACCGAAACTGAATGTAAAACCTCGGAGGTCGGAGCTATATATATGAGCATGCCTTATGGAGGGGGGTCATCTGACCCCAACAAAATTTAGTTACCTTTTATGTTTTTTGATAAAATGTGAAATTGACTCCACTGAAAATTTTACATTGACCCCTATAAATCTAACTTATACCTATGATTTACTTAAAAAGAAGACCCAAAACCCACATTCTAGAGGTAAAAGTATATATTAATCCTTTCAAATTGAACCCAAATCAATAATACAGTTTTTTAGGCCACGTAAACCTCTTAAAATTTGGGCTTATAATTGTAGAAAAATACTCCCTCCGTTTCAGAATATAGGATGTTTTAGAGTTTTTATTTTGTTTCAAAATATATGATGTTTTGCAACTTTCTATGCAGTTTTAAATGTATTTGATATTTTATGGCTGTTTGTATTCTGCAGTCTTTTCTCTAATTGGTTGAATTTTTAAAACCAAATATTAAATGATAGTTTTAAGAAAGCAAAATAAATTTTCTTAAAATGTGTGATTTCAAACAAAACTTCATATATTTTGAAACAGAGGGAGTACTATATTTTGTGATTTATTTTGATCCCACTAAAAATTGGTTCTAGCTCTGCCGCTGAGAGGATTAGTTGTCATTGATCACTTTTTTTTTTATTGTTAAGATGCATTAACAATGGATTGATGGGTATTATGCCAATTAACCAAAACAGAAAAAAAAAGTTTTGATCTCAATGTCATAGTAAGGTACTGAACCAAGACTCACTCCTTAAAGGAGAAAACTTTCAGGATACAAACATCATATTGTTGGCCTAGCAAATATTATATGCAAGAGGATTATAACTATCATCAACATTCACCATCACAACATTTAAATACTACTAAGCCCCTAAACCCCCAAAAATAAATAGAAAAAAACATGTTAAGCTAATTCTGAGTGAAAGGCTCCCAACAAAAGACTGTAGTGCATAAAACTAAGTGGCTAAAAACGCCTAAAGCTGCTTTTTAGGATGCAGACATAACCCAAAAGCAGAGAGAGAGAAAGAGAGAGAAGGTGTTTTAGTTGTGGAGGTAATTGCAGGATGCTCCTTTCCTACAATGTCCATCTTCGCGGAAGAACTTGCATACTCTTTGCCCCTTGAAGTTGTTCTGCCCACTTGACTGCCTGTTCCAACCATACCCAGAATCTCCATTCTGGCTCTGTTGTTGGTTTCCCCAGTAACCGGCTTGGTTCCCTCCTGACCCACCGCTTGGGATCGCTGTCTGATTTTGAGTTCCCCAATTTTGATTACTGTTTCCAGACTGAATCCCTTGACCTGGTTGCATCCATCCCGCACTCGTAGTACCCGCTTGAGCTTGAACTTGAGCTTGGGGTTGAGCTTGAGGGTGGCCTATTGCGCCCCACCCTGGGTTTGGATAAGCTTGTGTTTGTCCTTGGACAGGCCCGCCCCAGCCAGAGTTAGGGATTCCCTGGCCAGTTGAGGGAGCAGAAGATCCACCCCAGTTTACATTCACTCCAGCTTGAGCAGGACCAACCCATCCCATGTTTGGATTTACAGTCCCTTGACCCCAGCTGCTGTTCTGGTTTGCTGGAGCCTGAGCCTGAGGTTGTCCTGAGTTTTGGTTGTTGTTCACCATGTTTATACCCCACTGAGCCTGAGCCTGAGCCTGAGCCTGAGCCTGAGCCTGAGCCTGAGCCTGAACATTCGGTTGGCTTGGGACTGCAACCTTCCAAGGATCAGATGGAGGAAAGCCTGGTTGACTCTGTGAGTGTAGAACACTAGGAGATGGGGTGCCATAAGACGTAGAGCTATTCTGAGAAGAGGGAGCATTACTTCCTCCATGATCTGTCTGCAAGCTCCCCCAGCTTTGCTTTCCACCTGCTGGTGTTGGAGAATGAAGAGTCGCAGAGTGATTAACAGAAACGTTAATCAAATCTGGTGTTGGAACAGGGTAGGCTTGAGGCTGTAGAGTACCAGCAGAATTTACAACCACAGGGATATCTATCCTAGAAGCATGACTCTGTACAGATTGTGCTACTGAGTAATTCATCGACTGATTAGCTGACTGTGGAGATGGCTTGGTTGGAGACCATCTGCTCTCAAAATTTCGCCTTTTTGCTGTTGGAGTAGTGATTTGATTTGGAGTAGGGGATGGAAGACTACCACTTTGACTCCAAGTATCTTGGGAATTCCTAGGAATCTCAATGGTTGATGGAGCAGTCCTAGCAGTAGAACCTAAATTGGGTTCAGATTGGCTTGATTGACCAGAATAAGCTGCTACCTGAGCTTTCGTATAGCTATTATCTACCGCCTGGGTTTGCTTCTGAAAAAGTCCAGCCAATGCATCAGTCAGGAGAACAGAGTCCAACGCTGACTCTTTCGCTTTCCAGATTTCCAACTTAGCAGGGAAGTACCCAGTGTTGTTCCATTTACGGAGCTGCGCCATCGAAAAAGGTCCTTGAACTTTACCAGATGGGTCCTTGTAATGCCATATTTTCTCTGACTCATTTGACTTGGGAACAGGCTGCGGAACAACAGCAGGAGGTGCCGTTGAAATTTCAGAGGCAAACCTAGGAGATAATTCTGGTGGCGCAACAGCACGAGAACTTCTGGTAGTAGTTTCAGGAATTGAAACAGATCTTGGCTTCTCAGGGCCTAAAGAAGGTTGCACATCTCTTTCTCTAGCTGAAGTCCACATACTTTCACTAACTTTGTCGTCAGAACTACCAAGATAATCCCCTCTACCAGTAGAACCTCTACCAGAATAACTTCTGGTTAATTCACGATTTGCACTTGTATTCGAGTAGTTACTTGTGCCAGTCCATGATTCATTGGAACTAAATCCTCCCTTTCGTGGAGATATTGGATCTCTTCCTCTTCTGTTAAAGCTACTGCTTCGCGGCCTCAGTTGTTTCTCTAAATGCATTAAAACCACCAAACATCAAAAACATTAGAAGATATACCAAACTTCACATTTTAGTTTAATTGCAAGTAAAAACTTGAATAATAAAGAAACCTTTTTCCTTTTCTTCTTTTTCATCTTCATCTTCCGATTCACAATCTGGATCCATTTTGGGATCATCATGTATTTCTGGAATTTCTTCTAGCCTGCGTTGTCGTTCCTCTGGAGATTTTAACAGTTGCAGCTTCTCAACACATTCTCGTAGCGTAAACATAGTTGAGGAATAACACAAGTGAATAAAAAGAATGAAATTATATGCTTTCCACCACTACAAATAGATTCAATGCTCTTTCCCTGAAGTACAAAAACATGCACAGAGAGGAGCATTTCAAAAGCATGGCAAATACTTATTTTTGACAAGAATTTGAAAGTTTCAACAGATAAGGATATTCTTTTCTGCGGCCCATGTCACTAGCGCGATCACGCAAATGACTGAAACGTAGGATCTCTGCATCCAGCAACTGCATTCATTAAGTAATAACTGTCAATACAGAAGCAGTCATATAAATTTTACATTTCTCAAATACTATTGTGATAGCTTTACATTATTAAGAAACCTGAAAACCAAAATCTAAGAGAGACGATAGAACTAGAATCATGCACATTCCCTAGACAGATTATGCAGTTATTTTCCGTCTCCCAGTCCAGCAAGCTCAATCACCAAACATATAATAATAATGAACAAAAGGAGAATTAGAGACAGG